CTCTTCCAAATATATGAGGGAAACATATTTTTCTTACCTGGGAAAATGAATGTGGGAACTTGTATATCAGATGACAGTCTTCTTGTTTCCAGAATACAGAAAGCTCCAAAAATAGCCACTAAGAAATTAGACAATTCACGAAATCAAACTTGGCCAGAAGGGTGAGTAGATGCTCCAGTAAGAGAAACATAACAGCCACAACATGCTTAGGGAAGAGAGACAGGTGACTCTGAGGGGACTCTCAACACCCCCATAAAATACTCAGAAATAAAGACTTGTCATACGAAGACCTGGCAGGTTGTGGAGGATGACTCTCCCATACCCCCTGCTGGTGGCCATGGAAAACGGACAGACACTTGGAAAAGTATTTCTCAGTTTCTTCATATGTTAATTGTCATCTGGCCATCACAACCCCAAATATATTACCTGGAGAAAGAGAACATATTTTCTTTTAAAGACTCATTTATTTCAGTTCACACCAGCTTTATATACAAGACACTGAAATTGAAAACAACTTCAGCAACAGGCAACAGGCAAAGACTCATATCCCAAAACCAGTACGGCAGTTTTCAACTGTAACTCCAGTGCCAAGGGATCCGATGTTTTCTCTTGGCTTCCATGGGCACCAGGCATGCATGTGCTCTTCATACCTATATGTAGGCAAACATTTATATACATGAAATCAAACTAAAGTATGAAACTTGTCATGTAGCTATACATTGCTACACCTTTTAATATTAAGAATGAACAATTATCATGGGCAACAAAAGAGATAAATTTAAACATATATGCAAGATGAATGAAGGCCAGATGTCTCTAAACTCTGGTTCTATTCTGATACATTCCAGCATATACAAATTTGTCTATAATGGCAGATTGTTATTTTCCTGCAGACAGGGTAGGGCAGTGGTTGGGATTGAGAACCTAAGGAATATAGAAATGAAACTTTATGGATTGGTAAATAATAATGAAACTTGGACCTACCTGAGTATAAGAAGATGCCTATTGTCATTATGGGGCAAAGTAGAAAAATACTAATTACATTTAAGATTTGCTGACTTGGACTTCAGAGATGGCCCAGGGTTAAGAGGACTTGCTGCTCTTACAGAAGACCTGGGCTGGGTTCTCAACACTCACTTGTTGGCCCACAATGGACTGCATATCTCTTTATAGGGGAAGCAACACCCGTTTCTATCCAAAGCAGCACACCCTGATCCTGAAACCAGAGCAAAAGAAACATACACTGACCCTGAGACTAGAATCAGTTCACTGGCCCTGGAACCAGAGCCCAACGTTTAAAAAAGGCCAGTGAAATAAACACACTTTGCCCCTGAAACCGAAGCCACAGAAAGACACTCTTCCACTTACCAATTCGGCAAAACAAACTAACCAATATCTCAGCATAAAAGCAACAAATTCCTGAGCAGGAAAACCAGCTGATCACTGAGCATGAAACCACCCTGTATTTGTTCAGTGGAAGCTGACTTTCCCTCTTTGCAGGGGCAGCCACCTCCTGGATTCTTTCCTCTCAGTGAATCTCTTGAATGAGGCTTGGTGAGACCTTCTTTGTCTAAGAACAGAGAAGCAATGACTTTAACTGGAGACGAGCTGAGGAGAGGGGAGCAGAACTGGAAAAGCTTCTCCTAGCAGAGCAGACTTGTTACTCATCTGAGGATCTAAGCAGAGCTGTAACAACTTGGCTGGAGAAACCATACTGATATAAGTCAGCACATGAGTAAAGAACTATGCAGATAAGTTAGCAGTAGACTAAACACCAGGTCATCATTGAAGAGGACCAGGAGAATTATAACACATATCCTATCACAGCAGTAAGTGATTAACTAACTTTCACAAATATATATCCAGGGACATACTTGCACAAGCATGAGTATATACACAACACACACTAACAATTGTCAATGTAAACACACAGCTCTCACCTTAAAGGCAGAAGAGAGAGTTCATTCTGGAGTCAAATATCTGTGAGTAAACATGAGAGAGACAGGTTTATGTTAGTACAAATTGCATGTTACAGTGTGGAAACAGTTTCATGAAGTTTTTATAATAACAGAATGAAGAAACTATAGACTCTCCTTAAGTTCACTGGTGATAATATTAAGTAGACTATTATGGTAAAGCAGAGAAACCTCAGGTACAGGCACTAGCTGCTATGTGATGACACACAGTCCTTTAACTGGTAGAAAATTAAAGCTTTGTTAAGGAGACATATTCTGATATTTTAAATATCAGGTCCAATGTCATCTGTTAGTGACAAGGTGTTAGGTAAGTCCAACACAGGAAGCCCAAGGAGTGGCTACTCATGGGCTCAAGAGAACACAAAGGAAATTGTAATTAGGCCCTGGGACTGTGACTTCCACCATCTATATATCACTGCAGGTCTAAGAGTCAGTCAATCAGTCTTTGCAGACCAGCCTCTGCCAAGGAATTTCTGTACACACACACACACACACACACACACACACACACACACACAGACACACACACACACACAGGACACCTTTCATTCTCACTCTCCTAGCTCCCTGGTGTTTACTTAGAGCTCTAGGGGTACAACCACATTACAACAGATTCATATCTGACCACAAATGGGATGGTGAGAGCTACTAACTTATGTGGTTTGAATGAGATTCCTGTGACGATGGTCATGGACTTGTCTCTGGGACATTTCTCTCATTTGTTTCAGACTGTCAATAATAACCTGTAAGTGCCGACAAGAAAATAGGGACAAGCTGCATTACACATCAAATAAAGTTTTCATCATGGGATAATCCATGCTTTCAACAAAAAATATCCTTTGTAAGTTTCATTGACACTTGGTTCATGACAGTTTACAGAAGATTTAATAATTTGTTCACAGAAAAAACAATACGTATGAATTGTGTATAAAAAATAATACCAGGCACCTTATGGAGTTTGATAGCCATTTGGGCAAGAAACTGCTCTTGTCTGGACTATTGCATAAACTGGATACAGAGAACCCGCAGAGAGGACTGCTGAATTTGCCTAAAGGTGAGATGATCTTTTGGGGTTCCTGATTCATGAAAGAATCTGCAAGACATTATTCAGGACAAGCAGATAGTGATTGCCTTTGAAATTTCCTGCATTGTGGAAATGTCTGCTGGAAACTATGGGCCTGTAGGCCGAAGATGGATGCCCCAACGGTACAGTCACTTTGGGTGACTGTCCAGGCAGCGAGATGTCTCTGTCATTTCTAGAGTTTGAAAGTTGCTTATTTCTTATTTGCTTAGGTAATATTGTATCTTTCTGGACTCTTTGATAGAGTTAAAGAATAGTTAGTTATAGTTATAGTTTTCCTTAGTTATGATATAGATTATTGTAATTTTTACTTGATAACTGTTTTGTTATATGTAATTCTGCTCCGTTAAAGCTAAAGCCTTCTTTTTTTTTTTTTGTTTAAACAGAAAAAGGGGAAATGATGGAGGAAGGTCATCAAGCAATAAAGAAACTGCTTGGCTGGCCCTGATAGGTTAAAGAATAGGTGGGAGGAGTAAACAGAATAGAATTCTGGGAGGAAGAGGAAGTGAGGTCAGACTCTACTCTGCTTCCGGAGAGACCCGAGAGCTCTGCTCTCTGGAGCAGAGACGCCATGCTCAGCTCTCCCGGGTAGACTCAACAGCTCTACTATCTGGAGCAGAGATGCCAGGCTCCACTCTCCCAGGCAGCTCCGACCCAGGATGGATGTAGGTTAGAATCTTCCCGGTAAGCACACCTTGGGGTGCTTACACAGATTATTAGAAATGGGCTAGTCCAGGTGCGAGAATTAGCCTAGAAAAGGCTAAATAGAAATGGGCCAAGCAGTTCTTAAATGAAAAAAAAAATAAATAAAAAGTAATACCAGTTATAGATGAATCAAAATGTACAAATATTTGTGCATAATCCCGACCGATAGATCCATAGTGCTGATAGGCTAAAAGATTTCCAAACATTGCTGAATTGGAGACAACCTGTCTTAATGAAGGACAACTATGTTCACGGCTCAAACAATTCATTATTAGTAAGATGTATGTTGATTCAAAACTGAGCTTACGATTCAATGCAGTAACAATAAAATTACACTTATTCTTTTTAAAAATTGAGTGGATAACTCTAAACATTGTAGATTAAATACATAGCTTGTGGGAAAACCTTATAAACAGACAAATGTTAAGAGAACAGCATTGCCTGATAGGAGACCTGTTTGAACCTACAGTAATTGGACCAGCATGCTACTGAATCAAAGTTGGCAAGAAAAACTCCAAAAGCAACAGTCCACGCTCACATCTACACATTTACAGACCACTGCCTATATCGAGTCAACATTTTTCCTGTACCCGATGCTGGCATCAAGCTTGTGTGTAGTGCGTGTAGGGTGTGCTGTGTAGAACTGACCATACTCCTGCTGCAGCCTCCCAGGCACTGGGATTACTGGCATATATACCATGGCTGGATTATTGGAGAACTGATGTTTCACAAATAAACAAGGAAATTTAATGCATAAAGATGTCCTTTCAGGAAGCAATGCTGAGGCAAGTGTATATCCAAACCCACAAATATAAACCAGGAGCTACATCGTATCATATGTGAAGACCTTTCAAAAATAGATTACAGATGTAAAAATATAAAAATCAGCCTATCAATGTCAAACAGAACACAAGAAGAAAATCCCTGTCACTGGGTACCAGGCAAAGATTTCGCAGACAAGACACCGAATTAAAACCGTAATTGAAGAAGTAGAGAAGGTGGGATCTTACAATTTAAAATCTCCTGCTCTTCCAAAGACATGGATGAGAATTGACATGATAAGTCTGAGGCTAGGAGAAAAGTTAGAAATACATATATCTGATAAAACATTTCTATGACATATACGGAAAACATCGAATGTCAGTCAGAAAGTAGTAATTGAGACCCGTGAAAGATTTCGGGTGTGCTTTTCAAGGGGGCATTGATAGGATCGCCCCCTTTATAGAGATTCATTAGAGATATTAAGGCCATAGGCAGCGTTGCAGGGATTCTGAGGAGAGATCAGGGCCACCTGGCAGGGTGGGCCCCACGAAAATGGAAATTTAAATGCCAGACTGGTGCCAAGCACAAAGTGTCCCACACCTGCCACCCCTTCACGAGGCAGCCAAGGCAGGAGAATCACTGAGAGTTCTGAGCCAGGGTAGGACACAGTGAAATGCTGTCTCAAATCCAAACAAAACCGCAGATTACTAAAAAGAAAATCCTCTAACCAAGTGCATATTTTAGTATCATCTGAGACAGGAAGGGAAATTATGGACTAGTATTTAGACTTTCCCTCTTAAACCTCACTGGTCCTATGGGCAAGCAATCTCATGGCCTTTTCACAGAGAGGGACATGTACAGACAGGGCCGGGGAGGGGCGGGAAGGGGGCTAGTGGAGAGGAAGGTGCTTGCTGGTCATCCAGTAGTAATTTAAGCTGGGAATAAATAGCTGAATATTAACTCATTCGAATAATATTAAAACTGTTAAAAGAGAAAACATTTGCTTTCTTTTCTGTTTGCCCAGAGATCTGACTGACTGCAACTTGGAAAGAAGACAGCCTTGCTGTCTCCCTTCCCTCTGAAATCTCACAGATCCTATGGGCGAGCAATCTCTTGCACAGAGTGGGAAGTCGGGATCACAGAGTGCTCATTTGGCCTCATCTCCCTCCTGCTCACTCTCCCACAACTCCCCTCCTGGACAATGGCTCCAGCACACCCCGGTACAGAACAGCACAGGAGGAGGCAGAATGGTCCCAAGTCTGTCTCCTTCCGGAGATACACAGGCTGCAAACCCCGAGGTAGGAGTGGGCCTACTTTCGTCTGGAATCCCTGCATCTTCCTCCCAACTTTCAAGAAGAATCTGGTGCTCACCTCCGGGAATCCATAAGCTCAACTCAGTCCAAACACCAGGAACTGAATGCTCCTTTCCAGGACATTGGCGGTCGCCATTTGAAAGCTGTCACCATAATGGCCCCGGTTTCTATGACAACCGCAATGCTGCCTCCCTGGTAGCAACCAGGAATGGCTCCGCCCAGCCCTCCCTTTCTCTCAGAGCAGGAACTCTTCACCCTTGTTTTCACCCAAGAAAGCATACCCATAAGAGAAACTGTCCCCACTACGAATGCAGAGCTTTCCTGTTTTGTTCGCTCTGTGAACACAACATATCCCTGGAAGCATGCCCACGTTCTATTCACCAGACCATGGCGGTGTCTGTGGAAATGTCGTCACAAAGATGAACATTGCTGTCACGGTGATAAACGAACAGTTTCATCCAATAATTAGCTATGCATATATAATTTCATCAAGGGAATTTAAAGTCTGGGACACCTTGCACAGAAACATCCTGAAAAAGAAACGTCAAAGCTCAAAATTATTGTGTTGGAGATGCCGGGAATTGAACCCGGGGCCTCATATATGCAAGACATGCGCTCTACCACTGAGCTACATCCCCACACCTGTCAATAGCTTCATCAAAGCCCATGTGAATTCAGAGAACCGAGCCAACATTCAGAGTCTCTGCAAGGGTCTGCAACAGGTCCTATGAGCATATTGGATTCCAGGTTGAGTTTAGTGCTTTGATAGGATACTTGGGACATTTGTTGCATGAGAAAACAATCTATTTTCAATCAAAGGAAAAATAATAACAATAAAAATAATAACAACAACAACAATAACAACAAACCTTATGCTCTTTGAAGCAAGGTAAGCTAACAATGAATGATATTTGAATTACTCAGTCCCATCAATTTTACTTCAACTTTACCTTGCAGGTGGTTCAACATGCCAGTATCATGCGGAATTAATAATTATATGTTGCTGATTAGTGATATGCACTCATATCTGAGAGTATGAAACCCTCTCTAGCATACCTCCTTTCTCTTTTAAAACACGCCTTAGTTTCAGGGCTTGAAAAGCAGTTTTTCTAATCTTGGTCAGGCTGGTCATTTTGTTTCTTAACGTTGCCAATACTGTCCATCACTCCATTTATGGCAATAACTAAATGTGCGGTAGCTATTGGTTTATAAAACCCTAAGGTGCTGTCACTTTCTGCTTGTTTATGAATCTCACCGCTCGCTTTGTAAGTTTCAAAAATGAGAGGTTTTCTGAAATATGTCCTCCTTTTCACACATGCTCTAGTATATGTCTCAATATACAAAATCATTGAATAAATATTGTATGGATGTTCATATGAGTGAGAAAAGGGAGTATTTTTAAAAAGAAAACAATCTATCTTTTTTCATTTACATACCAATCCAAGTTTCTATTCCCTCTCCTCTGCCCATTCCCTCCACTTACCCCCCTACCCCACCTTCATCCAGTCCTCAGAGAGGGTAAGGCACATTGCCCAGAGGAAGGACCAAGCCCCTCCCCCAATATATCCATGCTGAGCAAGGTTTCCATGCAAAGATAATGGTTTCCAAAAAGTCAGCAGCAGCAGCAGAAGCAGCAGGGATAAATCCTCTTGTCACTGCCAGTGGCCCTGCAGTCTGCCCCAGCCATAAAATGTTAACCACATTCAGAGGGTCCAGCTTGGGCCTATGCTGGTTTCTTCCCTGTCTGGCCAGAGTTGGTGAGCTCACATCAGCTCAAGTAAACTGTTTCAGTGGGTGTCCGCATCCTGGTCTTGAACTCTTTGCTCATATTCTCACTCCTTCCACTCTTCAACTGGAAAAAATTAATATATAGTACCTGAGACGATGCCAGACTATAGAAGACTGAGTCCACACTTAAGACATTGCTTAACCTCAACAATTATTGGAATACTACAAAGAATGATATCAAAACAGGGCTTTAATATATAACTTCTAGATAAAGACAAAGAGGAATGGCAAATATGTGAGCTAGTGTGGGAGACTGAGAGCTACCTAAATTAAATGAAGACTAAAGAAAAAAGAGAAGGATGGAGGGATGGAAACAAAATGTAAGTGAGGGCAATGAAAGAAGCAGTAACATCTCAGTGCTGATTGTGGTCTAGGTTTGAGATGTTGGTGGATAAATACTGATAATCAAATGACCAAGAAGTAACAAAATATGAGTCAGTGTATCTCTGTGAGCCATGACCCTTTTGTGTTGTCCTTCATTCGGGAATCTTCCTTCCATTTTTATCGATAATAGATTTTCCCCGTAATCTATCCTGATTATAATTTCCCTTCACTCTACTCCTCCCAGTTCTGCTCCACCTTCCCTTCTATCAGGATCCATTCTGTTTCTATCTCTCAGTAGATAATAACAGGCTTCTAAGAGTTAACAGCAAAACATAACAAAATATATTAGAATAAGATTTTAAATCATAATTATCAAATAAAAATTGGATGAGGCAAATGAACAGGAGTAAAAGAGCCCACAAGAAGACCCTAGAATCAGAGACCCACTTGTTCACACACTCAACAGCCCCACAAAAATACCAATAAAAGTTATCCTAAAATACTGAAAGAGATAATATACACATTGAGGACCTGGTGCAGACCCATGCCTGCCTCATGCTTGCTGCTTTGGTCTCCTTGAGTTTCTGTGAGTTGATTTCGAGGGACCTGTACTCCAGATGGTAATCAATCTACCTCAAATTCCAAATAAAGCACTTTCGTTATACACTCCAAGGACACGTCAGCCTACCACCAGGACACTTCCATGTGATAATTGTACTTTATCTTATTTTAATTAATTTTATTATTTTTATCTCTTAGGAGCCCATTGTTTTCTAATAAGAATCAGAAATGAGGTGGATCTGGATGGCATGGGAGGAGGGGAGAAACTGGGGAGGTTAAAGGGAGAGGAAACTCTAATCAGAATATATTGTAAAGAAAAATATTTCTTTGAAACATAGGGGGAAATAAGAAATGTATCAGGATAACTATCGTGATGCCATGCTTCTAACACAACCTTGCTGTACAACTGTCCCTGCACATAGGAAAGGCCTCTGGGGCTGTGGTCCTCCCTTCTCACTTCTCATTCACTCAAAGCAAAAGGCCTTCCTTAGAAGGCTACCAACTGAGAAGCAGAACTAAGATGACTTAGGTGGGGACTCAGACAATTGGCAGAACTCACTTTTGGAAATAAACTATCTCCTGTCAGGAATTTTTGTATTATAGCAGTGAGTTTAGGATCTACCATGAAGACATAGCTAGGGATATACAGTAGGACTCTGGAATATAAGGTAACTCTTTTCAGAGGAATGTCTAAGATGGGCCATCCACCTATGGCAGAAAACTACAAGATTTTTCTCCAAAACATTGACTAAGCAGTCAAGCAACATTAGAAAACCGAACAACAACAAAAACAAACAAACAAAAAAAAACGCCCAAAAGTTGTATAGCTGGGTCTTGAGGTAAACTGATTCCCCATTTTCTGAGAAACAACCATACTGATTTCCAAAGTGGCTGTACAAGTTTTCACTTATTGTCCTTTGATTTATGTCTAAAAGCCACTTATAAGTGAATACATATTATATTTTTCTCTCTGAGTTGGGTGACCTCAGTATGTTTTTTCTAGATCCATCCGTTTTCCTACAAATTTCAAGATGTCATTATTTTGTACCACATTTTCTTTCTTTCTTTCTTTCTTTCTTTCTTTCTTTCTTTCTTTCTTTCTTTCTTTCTTTCTTAAAGATTTCTGTATCTTCCTCTCTGCCGCCTCCCATTTCCCTCCCCCTCCCCCAATCATGTTCCCCTCCCTGGTCAGCCCAAAGAGCAATCAGGGTTCCCTGTCCTGTGGGAAGTCCAAGGACCACCCACCTCCATCCAGGTCTATTAAGGTGAGCATCCAAACTGCCTAGGCTCTCACAAAGCCAATACGATACCACATTTTCTTTATCCATTCTTCAACTGAGGTACATGTAGGTGGTTTCCAGGTTCTGACTATGACAAATAATGCCGCTATGAACATAGTTGAGCACATGTCCTTGAGAAATGATTGAGCATCCTTTGAGTATATTCCCAAAAGTGGTATTGCTGGGTCTTGTGGTAGGTTGTTTCCTAATTTTCTGAGAAATCGCCATACGAATTTCCAAAGCAGCTGTGCCAGTTTGCACTCCCACCAGCAATGGAGGAGTGTTCATTTTACCCCACATCCTCTCCAGCATAAGTTGTCATAAGTGTTTTTGATCTTGGACATTCTTACAGGTGTAAGATGGAATCTCAGAGTTGTTTTGATTTGTATTTCTCTGATGACTAAGGATGTTAAACATTTCCTTAAATGTCTTTCAGTCATTTTAGATTCCCCTGTTGACAGTTCTCTGTTTAGGTCTGTACCCTATTTTTTAGTGGATTATTTGTTCTTTTGATGACCAATTTCTTGAGTTCTTTTTTATTTTGGATATCAGCCCTCTGTCTGATGAAATATCAGATGTATCATTCATATAATTGTTGAGAGAAGTGAGCTGCTTGTTGTTTAACGGCTGCTTAGCCCCTAAATAATAACTGAGAAACTGTATTATTTAAATCTCTGCTTGGCCCATTAGCTCTAGCTTCTTATTGGCTAACTCTTACATCTTAATTTAACCCATCTTCATTAATCTGTGCATTACCATGAGGTTGTGGCCTACCAGCAAAGTTTCAGCATTTTGTCTCTGGCTCTGGCTCAATGGCTTCTTCCTGACTCTGACTTTCCTTTTTCAGCATTCAGTCTAGCTTTCCCTGCCTACCTAGGTTCTGTCTTGGTATAGCTCAAAAGTAGTTTCGTTATTCATTAATGGTAATCACAGCACACAGAGGGGTCTCCCACATCACATAGTCAGACAATGGATAATGTTCTATAGATAGAAAACAGTCTTGCAGCAT